TGATTTAGATTCAATATACTCTTTAGAATGTGACCATTTCAAGGACAGGGATGATGTTTTATCCTTTTTGCATCAGCAGCAACAGTAAGTAGAACAGTATACATGCATTCATTCTTCTTGAATGTTGAATTGAGTGATTTTTTTTTACTCTAAACCTATAGTTTTATATAAATCCCAATTAATCTCTGACTGTACATCATCAGGACCAGTTCAAATCATAACACTATTATTCATTTCTATTAACTTTCCTATGTATCTTTGTATCACCCAAATATTTCACAAGCTTGCTTTCTCTCCCTCCAATCAAGTCAACAGAAAAATGTGCACAAAATAGGACAGAACAGGGAAACTGTGGACCACCACTACAGATCTCTACATATTGGCTTTTGTCATTGATCTGATTAATCAACTGAAGGTGAATACATTTAACTATATTAGAATCCATTTAACTAGCCCATGTTGGCATATCTTATCATAAGAGATCACTCATTTGATAGGCCTATGATATATCAGTTTCATAACTGAACCCCCCACCCAAAAATCAAAACACTGGTTTGTTTGGACTGACTTGATCCTAATATCCATTAATTTATGCATTTGAACTTATTGTATGCCAAAAACAGGAACAGAAATAGGAACATGATAGGCATGATATTTCCCTTTTTTGTGATCAGTTTAGTGGGAGAAAAAAAAAAGTGAACAGGTAATAACAGTACCTGTTTTGATGTAATGAGGAAAAAGTATTTTTGAGATATAAGAAGGGAGAAGTCAAAACCCACATTCAGATGAAAGAGAAGGCTTTCTACAGAAAGTGACTTCTCATTGAAATCTAAAGTATGCTTGATTATGTCTGAGAGAGCACAACACAGTCACTGAACTAAAGCACGTTCAATATGGCAGAACCATAGGGCGTTGGCCAGGAGCAAAATAGACAGATGATGCTGGATGGTAAGCAAGGGTCAGATCCTGTAGACACTGAGTTGCAAAATTGGAGATGCAGATAAGGGTTAAGGAAAGCAACTTAGGGGTATATATTTGGTTGTCTGAAGCAGAGATGATACTTAATGTCACAGGAGTGGCTGAATTTTCAAAGGATTGGGGCAAAATAAAACAAGCCCCAAAGACAGAGTCCTGGAGAAACACCAACATTTAAGAGATGAGTGGATTCAGAACTCTACAAATTCACTGATTACAGAAGTAACAGAGAGGTACAAGGAAAACCAGGAGGGAAGCCAAAAGAATAGTATATTTCAGGAATGACAACTATGTTAAATGCTACTGGATAATCAAGTGAGTGAAGAACTAAAAAGTGTCCTTTATATGTAGCCAAGGCAGTTAACCAAGAGAAGACTGCCAAAAACAAGCCCAGACTGAGGAGTAAATTGAAGGTAAGGGAGTAGAACAGTGAGTGAGTGGAGAGCACTCTTAGAGATTAGCTGTGATAGGAGGATAGGAGGGTTTACAGCATGGTGTCACAGAAGGATTTTTTTTTTAAATAAACTGATATTTTTCTCATGATTAGATTGGGGGGTGTAGGTTTTGGGGAATAACACCAGAATATATTTTTACTTAATAAGCAAAAGAGACTTTAATAATCCTGAAATGTTGAGGGAAAAGAGGTAGGGAAAAAAGGGAATAACTCATTAAGAAAACACAGGGTTAATCTACAGAGAAAGGACCTTATAGAAACATACAGATAAGGAAAAGGTTCTGAAGCTCAAGTGGAAGGATTTTCCACACACAAGGAAGAATTCCTGAATTGGAATCAGATAAGGCAGGCAGAAATGATAGGTGAAAGTACAGGTAAATCTGTAGATCATGTGGTGGGAAGTTGCCATCTTGTGGTTTCTATAGTATCTGTGAAATAGTTTATCTGAAGAAGAGGGGAGGGTAGGAGATGTGAAGCATATATCTTTTCAATAGTTCATTCTGTTTTCTCTAGGGCTCGATGTTAAGTTCACCAGTTTAAATTTCTGGAGCCCAAAAAGATTTTGTTTGTGCTTTAACAATTTGACTCTATCCAATATTCTTCTATTTTCATTTTCTTTATGACTTAGCATTTAAAAAAAATAAGATTTTCAGCAAGAACTGAGTGGTAATAGCTAAAAAGGCACTTTTTCAGTTCACCACCATGCCAACCAACATTTCTAGTTTCATAATCTTGACATTTTGCTTTATTCCATCCTACAGCTAATTGAGGCTTTATGGTATTTTAAAGAATAATTTAACCTAATCTTGCAAGATATGCGTAAACTGAGGTTAGTGAGGTAAGTAACATTCATGATAGCAAACAGCAAGATGGAGGCAGAATAAGCAAGTCATATTTTGTAAAGTTATGTCCCTGTCTATCAGCAACAGCAGTGACAGTTGACTACTTAGATAGATAAATATAGATAGTAGATAAGGCTACAGATAGCCTGACTGACAGACAGGAAATGTGGTTAAATTATCTGAAACATTCAATATCAAGGACACTGTATATAACTTCAAAGGCCAAGTAGTGAAAACAACATGAAGCTGTCAGAAAGAATATTTATTTCAGTGAACTTTCCTCTAATAGTGCAATGCATCTAATTTGTGCTCCTGGGTTTCGACAGATGACAGCATTTAGTTCTTCAATATTCTGCTTCCTATATTTTTAATTATAAAAGAATGATGAAAATATTGCACCCCATGAACTATTATAAAATAATGAATTTTTTTGTCATCTAAAGTGAGGCTATAAAACAAAATGTTATAACAGGCTTTTTTTTTTTTCTCTGAGCGATGAAAGGGAACATATCATAATTCATCTGGATTACTGACCATTGTAAAAAGAGGGTAATGTAGACTTCTGATCTCTGATTTTTCTTCTTACTAGCTGCTCAAACTTGGTTACTTACCCAGGCATTTGGACCAATTTATTTATCTTGTTCACATTATGTATAATACATGTAAAAATCCCTAACCCATTATCACACACAATTAGTTATCAGTACATGCTACTATTGTTGGTGTTGCTGTTCTTAATTCTACTTGGGGAATTCAGAAAAAGTTTTGCAGAGGCAGTTTCATTTGGAAAAGGAAAATAAGCTTGCCGTGGGCAAGCTCACAGGGGAGAGCAATAGAAACAGCCTAGTTCTGTGTGCATATGTCACACATACACCCCCACACACTTGGGCAAAGCATGTGTCACATTTTAAATGGAAGCAAAGCATTCATGATTTAATAATATCTCTTCACTGGCCAATAATTACAAGTCTTTGAAGTTATATTTTAGTATAACAAAGTACAAGAACCTAATTTTGTCTTTCTATTCTCATTTTCAGAATTAAGGACAATTTATCCTACTACCCTGCATGTCCATTGCCACCCCAAAGCATGAACCCAGATATATGCCTGTACCTCCCAACTGGATAACCTACTCTATTTCTTCTGCAGAAATAATTGTTGGCATTTTCTCCATTTAGAACTTACTTTTTGAACCTCTTTTCTGTCCCTGTTATCAATGGCTTTACCAGACATAATTGTCTTTGAAAATGAGCCAAAGAGAGAAAGTTAAAAGACTTAGCCCTGGTGATGTGCATTTTAATTTAGTCTCCAAGCAATCAATTCAATCAACACAGAACAGTTACTTCTATAACAGTAATTTTTACTATCATCATGATTATTAACTTGGAAGTCTTGGTTCCAAATCACTGGTGTTCTCTTACCTTTTCAATATAACCCTATGAATGCCTAACTACACCCTAGGATTACCCCAAATATTTCCTACAGCTTTGCAAAATCACTCCTCCTATCTGATTTTAATCCTTTTGCCTGATCAACACTAATGGCATCTATCAAATGAATGATTTAAAAAATGACAATCTAACTCAATATTAGAAAGCCTGAAGTAGAACACTCCTATATACTGGCAGTGCAGACAAATTGTCATTTATTTCCTGGAAAACAAATTAGCTATTTATGTAATAATTTTTTTTTAAAATTACCTATCTCATGTAATGCAGCCTAGACTCCTGTATAAGGATGTTATTCTAGCATTATTCCTAGTAGCAAAAATGTAAGACATCTAAAAATATGACAAGGGTTAGATAAATTACAGTATGTCTATGATGGAACATGACCCTATCTTAATGCAAAATTTCAGGCAAAAACAAAAATCCAAACCCTTTAACCAAGTATATCTTAAGAAAATAATACAAGATGTAATTAAATCTATCTGCACTAATTTGCTCTTCTCAGTAATATTCATACTACCAAAGCTGGAAATAATCCAATTATCCAATAAAGGGAAATTTGTTAAACTACAGCATACCCATACGGTGGAATATTATATAGTAATTAGCAATTAGGTCTTGAAAAATTTTAATGATTTTCCAATGCTCCTGACATGCTAAGGGAAGTCTAGAAACAAA